CTCAATTCGTAGGAGCTGTCCCCACCTGATACGTAGGAGTCGTATCATTGCTTTCCTTACTGTTTCAGTGTCCTATGTCATGTGGCCTGTGTTGCGGTGGGGTGTGCAGTGGGCTGGGCTAGGGAATGGGGTCAGGCTTCCACTTTTCTTGTATTCTTTGGGCTGTTGAGTGTTCTTGGAATCCTCCTCTTTTAAGCGAGGCCGTTTCCTTTTCCTTTTATTTTTTCCCATTTCCAGGCTGTGCAGTCCTGTCTGCCAGAGTCTGCTGGCAGGGACGTCCTAGACATGTACATTAAGATGCAGCATAATCTAGTGGTGAAGAGCGTGGGTTTGGTGTCAGAGTCCTGATGGTTGTCATGGTTACCTAGTCATTAACATGGCTAACAAGTAATGCTTGAGATGCAGGCCATTTCCTGGGTCTTGGAAATCGTTGTTGAGTCGACAGCTTTATAGACTCAATTGATTTTCTGTAATGTGTTGTAACTCATTTTATTCTTTCAAGCACCAGAAATATGCCTTTTAATTATAAAAAGATGCTGAGTAAAGCAAGGGTAGTTAAGTGAATTATAGGGGAAAAAATCTGAGCATGAAGTAACTTAATAGTAAGATAGTGACATTCCCAAGGACTCAAGGACCTAGTTATATCATTTGACCCTCATCCCATTGTATTGTCCATCAGCCCATGATTGTCTTTGAGGCCCCATAGTATATTAATATTCTGGTGTTCAATTGCAACACAGACAACCAGTTCATATGCATCCCCCAGAGGGAACATGAAGTCACCCTGACTCAATACCAAGGGGGTGAGTATTTTCCCCTAATCTATTCCATTAGGCAGTATGCTCTAAATTATAGAAATGGCACCGACTCTCCTGCATAATGTAGATGACAGTGGTTAGTCTCCCTTTTGCTATTATATTTTCAAGACTTACCATGGCATTATAAGACTTGTTGATTAACAAATTGGCTGTTTGGACAGAGGTCAGGATAATAGTTAGAGGTACTAACTTTAGGCGAGGGCTAAATATGTGCTAGATACTGAGTTATGTCTAGCCTTTCTTTGGTTTTCTTTCCCATGCTTATCAACCAAACTCAGGAGTGTTTATTTGTTTATTCTGTATTTGTTCATAGCCTGTTAGAAAACAACTTTCATTCTTTTCTTAGCCCCCTTGGACTAAGGATACATGTGCATTGAGAGATAGTCAGAAAATATAAATGAGTGCCACTTGGAGTCTGGAGTCAGAACTGCAGCTTGAATATCACAGCAGAAATGCTGGGAGTGAAGGTAGGAAGGGGGGAGTCAAGACAGCAAGAATTATTGCTGTAACCTCCACAGGGAGCTTTCCAGACGTTTGTGTGGCATAGGAAGTACATCAAGGACAGGCAGCCTCTTGCTGAGATTTTCTCCAGAACAAGTCGGCTAGGCCTCTAAGCTTTCTGCTTCTCCTCCTCCCCCCTACCCCATTCTCCTCTTCCCTCTCCTCCTCTCTCTCCCCCTTCTTTTCCTCCCCATCATCTCTCTTCCTCAACAGCCTAATCTTCCAACAACACACACAAATCAGGATGGGAACAACTGCCAAGGTCTGTTCTGACCAGGCAAGGAGCCATCTCAATCCTATGGAATCTTCCACCCTTAGTGAAAGAGCAGCTCTCTCTCTGTGTGTGTGTGCACATACACGGGTTTCAAGTAAAAATAGGAGTATGTTTTTTGCAGCTTCTTTCTTTCTGAATATAAAAGTTATACTTTCTCAGTGAGAAAAATCTGTAAGAGTCAGAAAAAATGTAAAGAAGAAAACATAAATTACATAGAATCCTGTAATTCAGATGTTCAGTTGCACTTTTGTACTTTTGTTTGTAGAGTTTAGAACTTCTTTATGCATAACTATATGTGTACATACAATTATAACCACAGTTTAAAAGTTAAACATATTTTATAAATCTCTTTCAATTCAATAAATGTCGATCTCTACCGTATTTTGCGAATCACTTTAATATAAGCTTTTTTTCCATATTAGAACTCCAGACTTTAGTTTTCTGATTTCAAAGGTGGCAACATCCTTGTAAAACTCAAATAAAATAGAAATGTATAGCATAGATAAAGCAATTGTCTCGCATCTCTTTGACTGTCAATTCTGTGGAAGTATTTGCTTTTTATAACTTGGAGTACATTTCTTTGGGGATTTGTTCTTTGGGGATGCACACCTATATTCTAATTCAAAAGTAAAACCATTCTTAAAAACATATTATTCTGCCTATATCTTCTTAATTTTATCACATGGTTATGCTTTTTTCCATTAGCAATAAATTGTGAATGTATTTCAGGTCAATAAATATATTTCAACATGATCTGAATCATTCACTACTCAACCAGAATTCGTCCAATTTAGAATTTTTTAACTAAGACTTTTTTTGATTACACATTATATAAGCATGGTATAACAGTCAATGACACAAAATTGTGTAAATTAGGAAGTGAAACTTTTTTGTTTCTCTCCTGCACTGACAATAAGGCTATCAGAGTCAGCTTTGAGATTTTTTTCTGTGCAAAATCTCTCTCTCCCTCTCCCCTTCCCTCTTCCTCTCTCTCTCCATCTCCTCTCTCTGTCTATCCCTGTCTGTCTGTCTGTCTGTCTCTCTCTCTCTCACACACACACAAGCTCTTTTGCAAAATGTCATCATAAATCAAGTACATGTGTTGTCTTTTAAACTGTACATATGTAACTCAACTCAATTTCCTTTCATGCAGGAAATTGAAGGTTGATACAAGGTTTCCCTTGTATCAAAGTGCAATTTTAATTTAACTGATCAGCTATAAGTGCCCTTTAGATTTTTATAAAACTGTTCACTATTACAAATCATGCTGAAGTGACATGTGTCACATATATCTTCACTTAAGTGCACCATTTTTTTATGATATATTCACATGAGTGAAACTGCTGCCTGAAAGAACATACATGTTCTTTTAAAATTTGCCTTCAAAACGTTGAAGCAATTTCCTGTCCCATCGTGGATATGTGAGAATGCCAGTTTTTCCTCTGCAAACCATGTATCATTAATCTATTTTAAAAAATTTTTAGCCCTATCAAAATTGTGCATGTAAATTCTAGGACTTTGAGAATAGGACATGAGTATTGTTGTTACTAGCTGTGTTGGTGTGTAGCTGGTAGCAGTGGTGTTTTTGTGTTTCTGTTAATGTTTGCAACTGTCTGGAATTCTTTTTTTCTTTTTATAATTTTAAAAAATTTTTTACAACATTGTTCATTTTTAAACAACATTTGCTTCCCCCCACCCCCTCAAGTGCAGTCTCCATAGAGTTTCCTTCACCAATGCACCTGTGCACCATCACCTCAGTCCCCTGTGCTCCTCCCTCCCTCCCTCCCTCTCACCCCCTCCCTCCTCCTCCCTGCAGGATGTCTCTGGTTTATAATTGTCTGTTTTTGCTTTGTTGTGTTTTGTATTGTTACTATTTTTTAACACTGATGTCTTGTTTGGTTCCCCTATATTTCTGCTATAAGCGAAACCATCTGATATTTTTCTTTTTCCTTCTGACTTATTTCACTGAGCATAATAATTCTTTTTCCTTTCCCACCTTCTTTGCTGCTTTTCACATGTGGTAATTTATTCCTCTAAATTCATGTCAGTTCCTAAAATCTGAAACTAGGTATTTACAAAGATGAACATTCTTATAATTTTATTCTTATGCATATCCTGAGCTATTTTCAGAGAATGAATTGCTAGAAGTGGCATTGCTGAATGAAAGCATAAATACATTATAAAATCAAATACTTTATGTATATGCTTATAACTCCTAAGTTTATCTTTTATCCAGACTCTCCTCTGAGGTTCAGATCCTATATCAAGCAAACTGCTTTTCATGCTAATATCTCAAACTCAAGATGTCTCAAACAAAGGTTGTCATTTATACACACTGGTTTCTCCTTAGATCTTATAAATGTTTTGCTTTTTACCAAAAAAAAGTTCATTATTTCTGCTTTCCCATTTCCCCAAATCCCTCCATTCCCTTTCCTTATCTCAGTGAATGGCAGGTAGCTTTGGCCAATTTTACAAACTAGAAACTGTGACTCCTATCTCTCTCTCACCTTCATATATAGTGCTATTGATTCTATCTCTTAAATGAATTTTAAATCTGTCTGCTTCTCTTCAACTCCATTGGACCATACTAGTCCAAGCGAATATCTTTTCTTAGCCAAACGAATATAAAGGCCTCCTGTCATTTTTATTCATGGATTTCAGAGGAAATGACATTTATTACATGCACTTCCCGGAATATGAAACACCAGGCAAATTATGTCCCTGTCCACACCAAAAGACTGAATTTTGCACTGTTCTTAATATTTAGCCTTGCTTTAGAGTTGCGTATTAAAATATGCCAAAGATACTGACTTTCACTTTTTGAAACCAGATGCCACTAATAACCAAAGTGTGTTGTTTTATTTCATATCCTTATCCCAGAATCTAGACAATAACATACAGAAGAGTGAGGACTATGTATATCTGATACCTTCTGTATATGCCCTGTGCCCAAAACAGTGCCTGGTACATGGAGACTCAGAGCAAATATTTTTGAAGGCATGAATGGATGAATACTCATAGTACAAGAGTAAAGCAAGAGAAGTATATAATAATCCTTAGTTGGTTCAGCTGTGCAGACTCTTAACGCATAAGTCTTTTCTTATTGAACCACATTTTTTGGAGTTGTGCTTATCCTCCTGAAAAGTTTGACCCTGAAAACCATAATTTGCTCTCTTAACTACTACATTATATTGGCTTGCTCTCTAACATATCATTAAACCACTATTTGCTAATTGTTTCCCCAGTTAGAATATAAACTGTAACTATGAACCAGAGGCACACTATGGGGGGGCAGGGCGGGGAAAGGAGCGATTGGGGTCAAAATAAGGGGGTTGCAATTGTATGGGGAATATAAAAATAAAATTAAAAAAAAGAATATAAACTGTAAAAGGACAGATTTTCTACCATTTTGTTCATTGCTGTGTTTCAACACCTAAATACTGTTTGATACATAATAGATGCCTAATAAATATTTGTTGAATGAATAAGCATCTCTTGAAATCAATATTGGACTTACAATCTTGTTCCGGACTAAAACATGGATTGTCGGTTACATGGATGGATGGTCTCCAGTCAATTTAGTCTTCAGACATGTAAATGACTTTAGAAAGGGAGAGATGGGGAAAGACATGGGGGGGAAAGTCTAAGTTATCACATTCCAAATATGTATCACACACCTAAATGTTATTTCTTCTTGAAATGACTTTTTGAGGAAGATATTATCTCTCTCATGTAATGAGGGGACTAAGGCTTAAAAAGGTTACGTTACTTGATTTAGGTTACTTAGCTAGGAAGTGACTGAGCAAGAAATTAATGTCAAATATGATTTCAAAACTCAATGAGATGATATTCACTGACAGGCTGTCAGAAGGTTGGTGCAGTTCTCATTCTGGTGACTATCAGATTTGGATCCAGCCTATCTTTTATATAGGAATTATTAAAGCATTATAAATCTATAGATTGATAAAAATACTTTTTATCAATTTATTTATGAATATGTCAATATAGTTAAATATTTTACAATGAGATGTGTTTTATAATCATGACCATGTTTTCTGTGCTGCCTAAACCAACATTGCAAAGGCATATGAAAAGTAGTAATAACATATTTGTATCATATAATACAGGCAGATGCCTTATATATTTAATATGCATCTCTTGCAACTCCCAGCAGAGAGGTGGTCAAATGAAATGAACTAAAGATCTATAGAAAAAAATCAATTAAAGAGATGCTCAATAACATTAATATTTCAAAAATTGTCTGTGAAAAATAAAATTACTTTTTGTGCCTATTAGGTTGACAAAGATGAAAAAATGTAAGTAACAATCAGCACTGCACAGGATGTGGCAAAACAGGCATTTGCATACTGTGTGGAAGGCATATAAATTGCTGAATCTTCTTTGCAAAGACAATTTGCTACTCTTAAGTACAATAAAATGTGTTCATACCATTTGATTCAGAAATTCCACTCTTAAGAATTTATAAAACTCCACTTTTAAATATACAAGCATGTATGTACAAAAACTAATTGTAGCAATATTTATGATATTGAAAAATTAGAAGAGTCAAACGCCAGAAAGGATATAGTGAAAACCCCCAAATGACCAAATTTCCCAGCAATTCCACACCTAGGTATCTACCCCCAAAGTACAAAAACACTAATTCAAAAGAAAACCTGAACTCCTGTGCTTATAGCAGCACTATTTACAACAGCTATGCTATGGAAACAACCTAAATGCCCCCCAAACAGATGAGTAGATCAAGAACCTGTGATTAGAGATACACAATAGAATACTACTCAGAATCAAAAAAGATAAACTCATGCCATTTGTGTCAACATGGATGGAGCTTGGAAGGGTTTATGCCAAGAGAAATATGTCAGAAGGAGAAAGATAAATACACTATTGTGTTACTTATACGCAGAATATAGACCAACCAATAGAAGAGTCAAAGACCAACTTTAAAACCAAACTTTGACAGCTGACCATAGATTTGCTGCTTTCCAAGGAGAAGAGGGGGTAGGGGGGAAGTACCATAGACTGTGGCGGATTATGGGTGCTTTGGTGGTGGGAGAGCTGTAGGCTACACCTGAGGGGGAAAATTCTATGCTGTCAAAACCCAAACGAACATGTAAAATGATACTTCAATAACAATTAAATTAAAAATAATAATAAAAAACCAAAATGACCAAGTCTCTACCAATGGGAGGAATGACAGTTATTTCAGAGATTATGACATTTATTTATTTATTTGTTTGTTAATTTATTTTTATATTGTTGTTCATTTTTGTACAGTTCGATTTCTCCTATCAGGTGTAGTCCCTATAAAATTACCACCACTAAGACACCTGTGAACTGTCACCATAGTCTCTTGTGCACTTCCCTCCCCTGTTTTGATCCTTCTCTGTTCCCATGCCCTGCTGAATGTCTGCAATTTATAGTTTGCCTGCTAGTTTTGTCTTTTTTATCTCCTGATTCCTTGTTTGGTTTTCCTATATTCCTCCTATAAGTGAGACCATCCGATATTTTTCTTTTTCCTGCTGACTTATTTCACTGAGCATAATCCCTTCCAGCTCCATCCATTTTGCTGCAAATAGCATGAGTTTATCTTTTTTGATCACTGAGTCATATCCCATTGTGTATATATCTCACGTCTTCTTGATCCAGTCATCTCTTTTGGGGCATTATTTTGTTTCCATATTTTAGCTATTTTATAATGTTTTTGTGTCCTTTGGGTAGCGTACTAGGAGTGGAATTGCTGGGTCATAAGGAAGCTCCATTTTTAGTAGTTTGAGGAACTTACACACAGCTCTCCATAGTGGTTGGATCAGTTTGCACTCCCACCAGCAGTGCAGGAGAGTTCCTTTCTCTCCACATCCTCACCAACACTTGTTGTTTCCTGGTTTTTTAAATATGTGTCATTCTCACGGGTGTAAGGTGGTATCTCATTGTGGTTTGGATTTGCATTTCCCTGATTAGAGTATAAGACTTTTAAATGGCAAAATATTCCACAGATCTAGAGAGAAATTAAGAAGCTTACTTTGTATTGACAATAATATGTTCAAGATATATTAATGGGAAAATAGCTTTCAAAATGTAATTTTGTAAAAAAAAAATATTTAAATGTATACATGCAGCCTGAAGTGAATGAAACATGTACATAAAATATTAATAACGTTTTAAATTGGGAAGTAGAAAAGAGTGATTTTCCCTTTTGCTTTTATGTCTTTCTAAATTTTCTATAATGAAAATATGCTAGTTGTATAATAAAAAATACAGAATAAATAATAAAAATATATTTTCATCAGAAATTATTGAGGCCTATTAATGGAAGCCTAGGTTATATAATAGGCAATGAATTTAACATGCTGCAAATTCTTTTTCGGATTCGTGCAATATAGATGAGGGTGTAATTTCAAAGAAATGATGTGTGACATTTTAAAAGGGTGAGGCCACACCTTGGTGACAGTGTAATGTATATCCAAAGCCGCTTTCAAAAATTGACATTACTTCAGAGATAAAAGACAAAATAGGTAGGAAAGTGTGATCCCCCAGACTATGTAAATCAGAATCATGAAAAATGCCAGCGGTCTCATCAAGCTCAAAATGGATTAAAGAACTAGACATAAGACCTGAAACCATAAAATACATAGAGGAATATAGGCGAAACACTACGGGATTTGCACATCAAAAGACATCTTTACAGACACATCACCCAAAGCGTGATAGTGAAGAGAAAGATCAACAGCTGGGACTACATCAAATTAAAGAGCTTCTCACAGCAAAAGAGACAATAACAAAAACAAAGAGAAACCCCACCAACTGGGAGAACATTTTTGCACCAACACTAATGATAAAGGCCTGATCACAACAATCTGCAAAGAGCTGATGAGACTCAGCAACAACAACGAATATAATCCAGTCAAAAAATGGGCAGAAGAGCTAAAAGAAACTTCTCTGAAGAGGAAATGCAATGGCCAACAGACATATGAAAAAATGTTCAACATCACTTGTATCAGGGAAATGCAAATCAAAACTACCATGAGATACCATCTCACACCAGTGAGAATGGCACATATAAAAAAACTAGCAACAACAAATGTTGGCGAGGATGTGGAGAAAAAGGAACTCTTGTGCACTGTTGGTGGGATGCAAACTGGTCCAACCACTATGGAGAGCTGTGTGGAGATTTCTGGACCTACTAAACATAGAGCTTCCATATGATCCAGCAATTCCACTCCTAGGTATTTACCAAAGGACACAGAAACATCAATTCCAAAGAACACCTGCACCCCTATGTTTATAGCAGCACTGTTTACAATAGCTAAGCTTTGGAAACAACCCAAATGCCCAAAAATAGATGACTGGATCAAGAAGATGTGGTACATATATACCATGGAATATTACTCAGCATTCAAAAAAGATAAACACATGCAATTTGCAGCACATGGATGGCACTGGAAGGGATCATGCTCAGCGAAATAAGCCAAAAAGAAAAGAAAAATACCGGATGTCTCACTCATAGCAGGAATCTAGAAAACTTAAATAAGGGACCAGGAAAATGAATATAAGAAAGTGAAAATCAAAATCAACAAAAAATATGAACCAGAGACACTTTTTTGGGGGTGGGGGGCGGGAGGGGAAGGATTGGGGTCAGAATGGGGCGTTTGCAATGTATGGGGGGAATATAAAAATAAAATTTAATATTTAAAAAAAAAAAAAAAAAAAAAAAAAAAGATGCGAATGATGGGGAAATATCATGTAAGACTTTCCACTGAGAAGCTAACTGGATAAAGAATGTTTGAAAAATAGCCCCAGATCCATAGAGGCTTACTGACCACAGCCGTTAAAAGTGGAAAATGTTAAGAGAAAAGCTGGTCTGTTCTCTGGAAGAAAGGGTCAAGGATAGGGTGAGGGTCAGGAGTGGCTGTAGCATACATAGCTGGGTAATCAAAAACAGTCTTTTGACATTCAGCACTGACATTTTGAAGCTGCCTTGGTATAACAGCTGCATTAAATCAGACTTGTCGAAATGTCCTGCTTTCCTCTGACAAAAAGGGCCTCTGCAAGAGAAATTAGCATGAAAGATGACAACGAGCCTGTTTTGAGAAACTAGTGATTGATCAGAGAACTGTAAGAAGAAAATCTACCAGGTAATTAGCATCATGCTTGCCCAAACTCAGCCTCTACTAAGTAGGAGAATATGTCCATTTTCTCAACCAATATGATGGAACCAGTCATGTGCTTGTCATCAACATTTCTTCTTAAAGAAAGAAGACCACAAATAAGGAGATTAATAAAAATACCTGGGATGCATAGTAAGATGATTTTGCCAGCCCCCGTCCCCCAAATCTGAAAATAGGCAGATAACCTGAAAGTTAAGGAATTACAATCTAGTGTTATGTTGATTATTATCCAACTCTGAGACTAGAAATGGAGATAATCACTACATGTATTACTGAAGGATTTCTGTAGTTCCAATCAAGGAGAATTGGCAGTAATCCTGTGGTGCCAGTGCTGAAATGCTCTTGATTTACTAAGTAAATTCTGAGCTGTGCTCAGGAGACACATTAGGAGGCTTGGGATAAATAACAGACGTCAGAAGTCCTAGGGAAAACGAAGGATATTTTTGGAGGAAAACCAAGGAAGAGATGGTATAAGTATGACTCAGAAGGTGGCAGAACTTAACACAGATTCAATAAGGGCAAAGAGATATAACATGATCCAAACATATCTAATAGAAGTTGGATCTCTGCCCCCCCATACCCCGCCAATGGTGTCTGCAAGGGAAGAGGACAGCAACAAAGCACCAGACTACATAACATCTTTGTGGCTAAATGCAAGAAAATGAGAAAGCCTATCAGGTAATCAGAGGATTTCTGGATAGAGATAGTAGGCAGAACTTTGTTGCAAAGGACTATGTATTCAGGATGATTACTTCCAACACTCCTGGGGTCACTGGTGTAAACAGATGACCAAACAACAGCTGGGACATAGATGGCTCAGCAGACAACTAACGTCTTGAACAAGAGATTCAGAGGCTGGAAGGTTCCCATTAACAATGTCCTCATATTATATGACTCCCCACTCCAGAACTTAAACTCAGCTCCAGAAAATTCGGCCAATGTGATTTAAGAGAACCGTATACCCAGCTAGCCCAAGGTAGCAATGTGATCAGACTGAAAATTAATCGGTGAATATTCAAGACTGAAATAAAATCTGATAAAGAAGAAAAAATAAAGGGGTGGTACCACCCCCAAAGAAGAAAATATAGGGGTTAGCATTCTCTGGAAAATGGTGGAAACAATTCCCCTCCCTCTATCTTAGTAGCAAAATCAAACTCTGAAAAGCAAACAAGTAAGCACCACACAGTATATATATGTAAATACTGGGCTGTGAATTTAAATGTCAAGGTTCCTACCTTGATGACAAAAATTATAGGCGTGTGACTAGGAAAGGAAGGAAACAGAAAAGAAAATGTTATCATTATCTCTTTATTTTATTCTTCATCTGACATTCAAAAGTCGAGTTTCTATTCTAACGCTAACACAGCCACATTTACAGCTTAAAAGGAGGCAAGAATAGTGCCAACCAGAAAATGAATCTAAAGGTTATTTGTGTTTGCATTTTGCAGTAGCAGCAGAAACAGGTGGCTGGTCTGAAATATTACTTCTGAGTGTTGCTACTACACTGAAGAGTTATTTATAGGGCAGGTGCCAAGCGTGAGGAAATGAAAACATGTCTTTTTCCCTGCTACCTTTTAGTATTCTAAACTCTGCGTCTCCACTTGTAAAGAGATAATGATTTCAGCTTCCAAGGATATTGTAGTGATTTACAAGTATCCACGGAACCTCAGCATCAACACCAATAATAAATTCAGCGCACTAACCAATGGTAAGGATCCATTTATAGCGTGAATCAGCGAGATGAGAGGCACTGAATTGAGAAATAAAAGCCTCATCTCTTACCCAACACTCAGGATTAGAATATTGATTGCTTGGATGTGCAGCTACATGTACTTAGTGACTACACCATCTGCTAGATCGGGCGTTTGTAAACTCTGGCTTGTGAGCCAAATCCAGTCCGTCCTCCATTTTTGGAAATGATGTTTTATTGGAGCACACTCACACTGCTTTAGCATCATGAGAGCTGAGTGGAATAGACACAGAGGTTGTATGGCCCCAAAAGACCAAAATATTTATTATCTGGCTCGTCATTGAAATAAAGTTTTCCAATCCCTGAGCTAGATGGTCAAAATAGATATATAACAAACAGTATAATTCTTTCAACAGGTCTACTCCATGGTCAGTCTGCCAGATTTTATATTAGGTCTTCTGTTCTTTTTCCACTTGCTGCTTTTCTAGAATGATTGACACATACCTGGGAAATGGTATATTCATTCTCAATGAGTTACAGTCTTCCTTGGAACAATAGGTTTAGGAGATTTATACAATCCTAATTTCTTTCTGAAATACATATATATGTATATATTTTTAAAGATTTATTTGTTTATACATACAAGTACTGGGGTACAGGCCAGAGGTGCATGGGTGTGTGTGTGTGAGAGAGGATTCACCAGAGACAGAGTGGGGAGCAGAACAGGTAGACTGACTGAAATACACTGCTGAGGGGATCAACAGGTGAGACAGGAGAGTTCTGCTGCGCATGTGGGTAGCTCCCTGACCAGGGATCGAACTCTTGCTGCAGTGGCTGTGGATAGCTTCCCAGTGCTGTGCTTAACCCCTTGCACCACCAGGGAGGCCCTCTGAAATATATTTTAAAAATATGCAAACACACAGTATGAAACCTGGAATGAGAGGAATTGAATGTGACCATGACCATTCTGCCACCGTAGCCAGCAGCATCTAATTCACAGGGATGCATGTTGAGGCCTGAGGCCTCCTTAATAGAATTCAAATGTCTAGGAGAGAAGAATATCTGACCACACCAGGATGAGGGTGAGAAGGATGGGAGCTAGAAGCTTACAGTGGGTGGTGGGGAGGTCCCCTAGGACCTAGGGACCTGGAAGAGGTGATGCTTCTGATTAATGCTAATACATTTGGAAAAAAATCAATGTATAAAGCCTTTTGAGATTAGAAATTCATGCAAGACTTTGCTGGACCATGGGCTCCCTGGCTCAGTCCATGAGAGGATTTCTCATAGAGGGGCCTCTCAGAGGGGGACACCAGCTGTGGGTTATAGTTTAAAGTTCTAGGAAGCAGGCTACACAGAGGGTCTATGTTTATAGTATGAGTCACAGCAGGGACAGGTGGTTGGTCTGGAGCTTAGCGCCTGCAGATGATGCCTCTGCCTGCCAGGATCATTCCAAGTTATTTGTAGGAGTGAGTTTTGAAAAATGAAGGAATGGAAAGACCTCTTTCTCGCAGTGATGATTTTATACTTTGGACACTTTCCCTCCATTTGTTAAGGAAAAAATGATACAAGGGATGTTGCAAGAACTTAGCAAAATGTCAGTAAAACCTGCAGTGAAAAGTAGCGAACACTAGATACTACCAGGGCTGGGAATAGTATAAGAAGGACTAAAGACTTAAATGAATGACTGATGGGGGAGAATCTGTATAATGCAAAACACTCCATTTTTCTTAAATGGAGAGTCAGAATTCAAATATTGGCTCTCTGGAAACTCCACTATCCTGACCTTAAAGTCCCCCCTTTTATTCCTGGTCTGACATATCTAGACTGTGGAATGTGCCAGATGTCCTAGCTTGTCACCATAACATCTATCAAAATTTTGTTGGTCCACTCCTCAGTCAGCAAAGATTGACACCAAAGATGTATTATGCAGAACTGCCAAGGAAGCCAGGTCAAGTATGATTTCCTGTATCCACTTAAACTTGCCTTAACTCCTTTAACATAGACCTGAATTTGAGGACAAGAAAGAAACTGAGAGAATGGCAGCAAGAAAAAAAGAGAAAGAAACAGAACTGCTCTAGGCAGAAATAGTCACACAGGCACACATGTATGTATGTGCACAAGTGCGCACACACACATAACTCAACAACAGACCTTGTTTTGGACAGCTGCAGAAATAAGCACCCTTCGCACATGACAACTGAGGAGGCTTTCACCTCCCAGCTCAATGTTAACCCAGGGGAATTGGATGAGGAACAAGGAAGACACGCCCCATGATTCTGATGAGAAAATTCAACCTGCAACTCAAGTTAGAAGAGAGAAAGCTAATTCCTTTTCATTTTGCCCATCTGCTCTTGCTTGATATAAGGACCCAATATCTCACCATACTGAGTTCGATTATTTTTTTTTTAATTTGAACTAGCTTATTATTTTTTTATTATTTTTTTAAAGGTTTATTTATTTATACAAGCACTGGGTACAGTCAGAAGCGCGGGAGTGTGAGAGCGCTTCACCAGAGCCAGAGCGGGGAACAGAACAGGCAGACTGACGAAATACACTGCTGAGGGGAGCAGCAGGTGAGGCAGGAGAGGTCTGTGCGCCATGTGGGACCCTCGCCGCGCTGCAGAGGCTGCTGGCAGCTTCCCAGCCCAGTGCTCAACTGCCTGTGCCACCAGGGGAGGCCCTGAACTAATTATTATCTAACTGATAGCGAAGAACGTTAAACCTCACATAATTTTGGCAATGTATTTGGCTTCCAGTTGTATCATACTGTTGCCTAGGATATATAGTTGGGTTTTTACTGACGGGACCTTCCTAGACCAAATAATTCACTTCTGCAGAGTGTTCCGTCCCAGCATCCCAGCGCCAGGTCTCACTCAGGGCACTCACTCACATGAATTCCAGGTCTTTCTCATGTTGATCCCTTGGTGTGTTTTGTCATATACCCACAAGCACACATGCAATGTTTCTTGATTTCTTGGTGGTGTTGATGACAGACATTCCATGCTTCTCACTGGGCTGAAGCTGTGGGCAGGACACTCTGGAAACTAAATTAGCCATATGTCATTATCCTGGAAGAAAGACCACATATTTGGGAAATAGAAAGGTCAGACATGAATCCTGAACTCTTCCACCTAATGGAAGTTCTAGTAATGAAGTATAAGAATTCTTATTCAAGAATTGAAATAACGAAATTGTTCTCAGAGGCCTACTTTATGGATTAATGTTGATGGCATGTGGAACATTCATAACACTAGTAGGTATTGTTCATGAGTTTCGTTAATTCTATAGAGGGCAGAATCCATGTCCTCATGGGGGTCATTTGTATTTCACCATGTGTTTTTTGACATTTTATAAACAATTGCCACTGGCATGTCTAATGTATAGAGTTATTCCTGCAAGTTAATTTCTGTTAAGCCAATTCCTTGGTCTTAACAGATCTTCCCAGCTGAGACCCCAGAATGCTTGGTCATCATGGGTCTCATGGGTCTCCACCACACTCCAGGACAGCTGGATAAGCTCCCCAATTTCATCCTGGTGGTCAGTCTAGGCTAGCAAAGGGAATTGACTCACCCAAGGTCCTGTCAGAGATGTTTCTAGTCCTAGGATTCAGGCAGCTCTCCAGACCCTCCCTCTAGCATCCTGCCTAGCAGATCTGTCACTGTAGCTTTGTGATTTCATAGTCTTTCTGAGGCTTGCAGAGACACTCAGATTATGTGCTTTGCCTCTGCTCACCTTGACAGCCAAAAGACAGAGGAGAAAAAGCCCAACTCAGCAGAAAAAGGGTAAAGACTATCCCCCTTTTTCAATTCAATGTGCAAATCATTCTATTAGATTGAAAGATAGCAAACTTGTTTTTGTAAGTAAAGAAATGTCTGAATATCAGCAGTTTCATGTGGTCTGATGAAATATATGGAAAATTTACTGCATTTCCTGCATAACATGAATTTAAGTTTTCATTGTATTGTAACCACTCAAATATTTTTGTCACATTGTTGGATTATTTAATTTATGGAAATTCCCTCTCTGCAATGGGGGAGGGGGACTGGGAAGGAGATGTCTTCTGAGTGCCTAGTAAGGGCCAGAACTCTTTTACGTATTTAATATATTTTTTTTTCTTTTTAAAGGCTCAAAAATGCTGCACAGTCGATACCAGGATCTCCCTATTACTCATCTTTTAATTAAGTATTGCTCTGTGAAGCTAAGAGAAGGTAATTATATTTTCTTTTTTTTTTAAGATTTATTTATTTATTTATACAAGCACTGGGTACAGTCAGAAGCGCAGGAGGGTGAGAGAATTCACCAGAGCCAGAGTGGGGAGCAGAACAGGCAGACTGATGAAGTACACTGCTGAGGGGAGCAGCGGGCGGCCGGCCATCAAACTAGTGCTGCAGAAGCTGTGAGCTTCGCAACCCAGCGCTCAACTGCTGCGCCACCGGGGAGGCCTGGTAATTATATTTTCAAAGCTTACAGTTAGTAAGAGGCTGAGCAGGACTTCTAACACAGTTGAGTCTGAGTTCTGCCACATGGCCTCCCTTTTACATGGTGAGCTTTTAGGATTCAGGGCCAAGGTTGTTATCTTCCTCAAATGGACATGTATGACTGGGAGTCTACATGTATAGTAGAGAATCTGAAATTTAGTGGAAATAAGTTACAGGATGAAGCTCTGAAATTGGAATTCTAGTGACTGACACATACTAATACCCAATAAGTATTTCTTGAATGAATGAATTATTGGATGAATTCTAGATTTTGAGAGTCACCAGCAAGTGAAATTGAATTTATATCCTTCTAATCTTTTTCTCTGCATATCCATTTTTTAAAGTATTTGAGATCATAGTGTGCAAACTGTCTCATAATCTCTGCAGAAATAACTTTTATTGATTTTTTTAGTGGGTCTAAAATTTCAGGTTATAAAATTCAGCTGGTAAAGAAATCTCTGTTTTTATATAACTCTTCTTAGTATGCATTTTGAGTCCCATTCTGCCTGTTGCAGAAAACCAAATCTTGACAATTGAAGGTAAATTCAGTCACCTTAGGGTTTTCTCCATCAATTCAGTATGAGCTAAATCAATTTAGGTTGGAATTTAAGTCCCAGAGGTGGAGGGCTTATATTGCATCATTAAATCATGGATAGGAGGGGTAAGTAAGAATGATTTGTCTGGCAGCAGTCAGGTCTCAGAGAACAAGTAACCATTCCTAAATGAGAGAGGTAAAAATTCTGCGTAGTAGCTCACCAACAAAAGGGGACCCTCAGGAATATGGTACCTACTTGCTGATTTGCATATGGAAATTTCTATTCTGGACAGATTTTACCCAACAACTCTATTCCTACTCTCTTTGAGGAGATGATACCTAGAGGAGAAATACAACTTCTTAGTGAGGGACTAAGGATTTTGAAGGGACAGGAAATGTGCCAAGATGAAACATTACCTGATAAGTTTTCTACTCCCTAACATGTACTTTTGACCCTTGTGACATTTCCCTCTTCTTCCCCGGATACTGTAGATCTCATAGACTTAAAAGAATTCTGCTTCCCCATGTAAAGTAAGTAGCAGTGTAACAGAGATGGTTTCATTTCATACAACAGAGAAGGCCTAAGGTAGTTCAATTCCATGGTCAAGATGAGAGACAGCAGCATGACAATGTGAACCACTTATTTGAAATTTAGATGGGAATTCAAACATCTTGGAAGATTTCACCAAGGAGAGAAAAAGTCAAGATACTACATAAACTCTGAGAATTTAGATGCCACATGATGAGAAGTAGAGACTTATAAATTGGTTGAATTTATCACACATTAACTAGGCAAACCAAGAAGGAACTAAATTTACCCTGAATTGGAAGAATTTTGCTTCCTACTCACAGGAGAATTGGGGCTCAAAATGGAAATTAGATTCAGTGACGACATAGAAAAGTACACATAATAACACTCCTTGTGTACTTAAGTGCTTTACTGTGGCTTGAAAATTCATGCCTGACATATTTTTCCCTCTTTGCAAAAATTGTATTTATTCATTGGAAGAATGTTATAAAACACAGCAGGATTTCAACTCTTGATCAGAGCCAGAAATAAAATTTAAATGTCTCAAAACAGTGAAATAAGGAGTGAGGGAAGAATCATTGCTCTAACCCAAGGGAGATGTGTCTGGACTTCTATTTAGTAAAGGAAATTCCTGGAATCTTCATTTTTCAGAACTCTGTAAGACATGTAACTGAAATGCATGTTCATTGTAAAAAATGTTAAATAATGTAGATACACAAGTTGAATTTGTCTTAATTCTTCCTTCCTCCAAAGATGTCCTTTGATTTAAGAATCCTTTGGTAGTTTCTTTGCAGTTATTATACTAACATTTGTGTATATAAGCAAATACATAAAGTGTTCATACCTTTAGCTTATTCTTCTGTTGGTTTGTAAAGGCTCTGTCATAGTAAGTATATTTCCACTTTTATAATACATATTGCAAATATTTTCTCTCAGGATTTTTATGACTTTTAGTTGCATTCATGATGATTTTTTATTTTATTTTCAATGAAGTGTCGTTATTTTACATTCTTGTTAATTTTTTCACAATTTAGGATTTCTTTCTCATGATGATTTTTGTCATATGGAATGTGATCAAATTTGCTTATGTACAAAGTTCAACAAAAAGAAATTTTTTAAAAAAGATTTATTTATTTCTGCATAGAAGAACTGGGGTATAGGCCAGAGGTGTGGGGGGTGAGAGGATTCACCAGAGGCAGAATGGGGAACAGAACAGGAAGATGCTGAACAGAACTGAAACATGCTGCTGAGGGGAGCAGCGGGCGGGACAGGAGAGGTCTGCTGTGCCATGTGGGTCACCTCCCCGGCTGGGGATCGAACTCTTGCTGCAGTGGCTGCGAATAGCTTCATAGTGCGGTGCTTAACCCCTTGCGCCACCGGGGAGGCCCAACAAAAAGAAATTTAGACCAATTGAAGTGCATTCACAACTATCCTGATTGTACAAAGCTGAAGGGTAGCTAAGCAGGAGATTAAAAAGTTTACAAAATTAAAAACTGGAGGAATTCAGGTCTTAGTGTAAGGGGAAGGGCCTTCAGTGTCTGGCCTAGTTTTGAAACACTGCTCTTATGTTTACATGGTTGGTAATTGGAGATAAGTATTTAATTTATGTGAGCCTCTAAAGAGCTCATCATTATTAAAGCATATGAAAAACTGACCACACGATACTCCCTTATTCTAGTTTTTTAAGCTAAGGTACATAATTTCACGTTTTCTGTTGACATTATTTTGTCTTTTGTCTACTCTGTTTCTTCCTCCTTTTTAAAAAAGATTGATTTATTTATGCATACAAGAACTGGGGTGCAGGCCAGAGGTATGGAGGGTGACAAGATTCACCAGAGACAGAGTGGGGAACAGAACAGGCAGACTGACTAAAATACACTGCTAAGGGGAGCAGTGGGCAAGTCAGTAGAGGTCTGCTGCACCATGTGGGTAGCTCCCTGGTGGGCCGGGATCGAACTGCAGAGGCTGTGGATAGCTTCCCAGTGCTGTGTTTAACCTCTCGTGCCACCAGGAGGCCCTGTTTCTTGCTCCTTCTACTCCAATTCCTCTCCCTCCTCTTTTTTCATTTATCCTGAACACTATAGCTAGCAAATTTAAAACAACCTGCCCCTGAATCGTGGAAATGCATCTAGCAGAAAGGCAGATGGGGAAATGAGTGTTAAAATATTCTTGCTGCCATTTATTATGTGCTCACCCTTAGAAAAGTTACTTATCTTCTATAAACCTGAGATTGATCATGGGAAAAAGGCAAATTATGATGTCTTCTTTAAGGGGTGTTTTGAAGAGAAAATGAGGCAATCTATGGAAAGTGTCTGCCATGTAGTAAGGCTTTGGGAATGTTATTATCTACCCTCACATAGTTTTCTTCAACTATGTGAGATGATTGTGCTATGAACTAAATAGCATAATGATCAAACTATGCTCCTCCTTAGACGAGTACCAAATTTCCAGTAAAAACTTGAATCTGAATATCCAATTGCATCAAACAGTATTTAGTTTACAGCTACAATGGACTGAGAGCTCAACAGAATGCAGAGGCTTGACTGTCTCCAGATGAGAGTGAGGAGAAGGGGTAGCATCTACGTGGCAGAACCTTGAAGTGGATGATTGGGAAAGGGACATTATAGCGAGCCAGGAGAGAGAGTGTTCCAGGTCAGTCCTGCAGTAGATTGTATTCCCAAAGATGGCTGCAGCTCTCCCACATGCTCTTTTGGAAAGTGACCTTGATTCTATCCCAGATTGTATTCCCAAAGATGGCTGCAGCTCTCCCACATGCTCTTTTGGAAAGTGACCTTGATTCTATCCCATCAGGAAGGAAAGTGTATTTTCTCTTTTCTTGAATCTGGGTTGTCCCTGAATTGATTTTTGACCAAAACAAACAAACAAACAAACAAACAAACAAAAAACCAACAACAACAAAAAACAAAAACAACCCAAACCAAAAAACCCAACAACATCATTTTTAAAAAGATTTATTTATTTATGCATACAAGAGCTGGGGTGCAGGCTAGAGGTGCATGGGGTGAGAAGATTCACCAGAGTGGGGAGCAGAACAGGAGGAT